AACTTTTGCAGTTCTTGTCAAGTCCGGTAACAGCTGACAGATAAAATAATTTTTAAACGTGTCTGTTCTTGTCTTGATTGATCTGTAGCCTTTTCTTAATGGTAAAMGTTCTCACACAACATGTCTAGGGTGAGACATCCTTTAGGATGTTTGGGGCTTTTTCTTTGCAGCGGGAGCAGTGTGGTTCTTCCAGTGATAGAAGCCAGGTGGCCCACAATCTTGTGGGTTGAGTTGATAACTCTCTGGAGCGCTTTTCTCTGAGCCACTGTGCAGCTGAGATACCACACAGTGATGCAGTATGTTAAGATGCTCTCTGTGGAGCAATGGTAGAAGAACCGCAGCAGTCTTTGAGTGAGCACTCTCAGGAAGTCTGGTCTCTGCTGGGCCTTTTTCAGCAGCTCAGAGGTGTTCATGCTCTATATTTCCCTCAATATGGACTCCCAGCTACAGTCAACCTTTAAAATCTGAGGTGGGACCATCATACTCTTTTTCTAAAGTCAATGACCAGCTCCATGGTCTTTGAGATATTGAGGAGCAGATTGTTCCCCCTGCACCAAGCAGTCAGTTGCATCCCATACCCCACGATCTGCGGGGCTCCAGTGTTGAGGCATAAGACCATGGATGTGTGCATATTCAACCCCTCTGACTGCGTTTGGACTATAAAACTGTTTACCCAGGTGGAATGTGAAAATCCCAGTTTCTCCAGTTTGTTCACCAATTTATTGCAGAGCTATAGTCTACAAAGAAGATCCACACATAGCTCTTTTTTTGTTTCTCCATAAGGGACACAGAAATGGCATCCTCAGTACATCTATTAGCTTTGTAGGCAATATATATTACTTTAGTTATTATGCCAGTTAGTGTCATGGCTGAATGCCCTTTTAAATAATTAAAATCTAGTTTTGAACCTCATTTTGAATTTGCTTGGCTAACAATCCATCCATTATCTTCCACTTTAACAGAAGTCAGGTCGCGGGGCCAGCAGTTCGAGCAGGGAAGCCCAGACCTCTCTTTCCCCAGCCACCTCGTTCAGCTCTTCTGGGAGGACTCATAGTCTCTCCAGCGTGCCTTGGGTCTTCATCGGGTCTACAACCATTTACAAGTAAATACTGTTAATATGGGAGGTGTATTATCCACAAAAACCACAAGTTCAGGATAAAACAGGGGAACTAATTTGATCGAGTTATGTGTTTTCTGGTATTACATAACACAAATGTAAACATTGTGTTGATGAATGCATTATCACATTTGTTGTGAAACGGTAGAATCAGCATGAAATTAGGGACAGTTAATTGTAGGTGCATTCCAACTAATTATTTTGTGCGTCAAAAATGTATAGTACAACATAGTTTTTGTCAAAAGTTACATTTAATTTAACCTCACATAAATGAGAATTCAAAATRGAAAATCCAGTGGCTTTCTGCAGTTCCTGGCTTATCCTCACTCAGATAAAACGACCTTGAAAACGGTCTTTATCAGTGCTACACTGACAAAGATAGGCAATTAAGTGTAAGGATTGGCCTTTGAAGGTTGCCCTTTGAGGATGATATCTCTTACTCTGACATCAGTCTTGGGAATCTATGGACCTTCTATGGGATGTTAATGCAATTGACTGCAGGTATCTTGCAAGTTGCATCAGTGATATATTTTTATTTCTCTTTTCATCTTTTCTAGATAACTGCTGAACTGAAGTAGTCTGAAATTATCTGAGTGTAGTTCTGCAGAGATAGTTCTTTGACAAAAGAAGGTAAAGCCAAATTAAAATCAACACTTAAAATAAAAAAAAATTCATATATGAAAAATTCCACAGCTGATTTGAGTAAGTGTGTACCAATGATGTTGTTTAAAAGAGATGTGAGTTGTCCATTTTCTTTCTCCTGAATTTACTTTCCCTGTACTTCCATTTATCTTGATTTTAAAGCATAAAACCACAACAGCCAAGGCTTTAGCTGAGTCCAATCTTCCGTGTAATTTTGTTTTGGTCTGCCACAGGCCACAACRTAATTTGACATAACTGAGCCTTGCCTCTCCCCTGGTTTGAGAATATTGTGACCTTCCATTATAAAACCCCCACGAATCCAGTTCATTGTCATAGCTTAAGGTTTTGGAAGAGAGTGAAGTGGATTGGTTTGAGAGAAAGCTAGAGGAAAGCACTCTTCTTAATGGTTGCACTTCTGCAATACCAAAAAAAAAAAAAAAACACTATTTTCCTTCCTCAGATTGATTCAGATGCATTGCTTTAATCTCTGCCAGAGTGCGATCTGTGTCTTTTCTCTTTTTATTTTAGAATGTAAACAAAAAAAAAAGTTTCTTTAATGGCTTTAGGGCACAGGCTTTGCATCTTGTTTGTTGTTTACACTTTCATTCAATCTGTATGCATGCATATTTATAATACATAAATTTATCAAAAGTAAAAAATAAAGTAATTTAGAACAAAGACCAAAGTGAAGATTGAGTCTGTCTTTGACTCTGACTTTCATACTTTTTGTGATATATGCAGTTTTCCTCTGCAACCATTTAAACACAAAACAGTAATAAAGTGCATTCGACAATACTGCAGCCTACATAATGAATGTTTTGCAGGGATTTTCAGTACTTCCAGGAAAACACAAGTCAGAGTTTTTCTAATGTATAAAAACATGGCAACCTTTCCATACTTTAAACAAAGGTCACAAGTTCGATCTATAGACCAGCTGGATACTGTAAGTGTAGGAGGAGACAGTGAAGAGCAGCACTCGCTTCTACCTTATTAGCACCACAGGGATACTGTTGAGTAGAGCCTCTATTCTCACTGCCAGGCAACTTGTAGGTGTCAATACACGTAACTGTGGGAGAGAACAAGGTTACTCATGACAAACAGAGCTTTGCTCTTCCTAGATAAACTAACAAAAAAGGCAAATCATTTGAAAATTTTAACCTTGTATATGAATGATGTTAAAAGGACAAATAGTCCTATGAGAACTACATTAGAAAATACTGTTTGTAGCTCACCAAATTGCTTTTAACCAAATAAAATGTTATTGCAATTGATTTAAATAACATTAAATTAGATGTTTCTCTTTTTTACAAGTAGACACAATTTTTAAGATCGTTTTGAGACAATTGTGATAACTCATTGCACAAAATGCAATAGGAATATATTAACAACTTGTTTTTATTTTTTATGTATTTAATTTTATTTAATTTACAGTGGTTTTGGGGAGTGTAAAGAAACACCTATTTATTTGTCTCAACTTTTCTAAAAAAAAGTTTCTTTGGTGCAGTTGCATACAAATAAATTACCCATGGGAAATGCAAAACTATGAAAGAAATCTATAGTTTCTTAAGAGAACAGTAAATCAAATTTAATATTGATACTTTTTTCCATAGACTCAAATCTATTGTCTAAATTACCTTTGTTTTATATCCAAATCTAATGTGACAAATAAATAATTTAAAATTTAGTTTTTGGCATTTACTTCATGTAAGACTGCAATATATTTAGACAAAAACATTCATTTCAAATCAAGACCCTAAATTTAAGTGATAAATATGTTAAAGGCTGAAGTTAAGGTAATAAGTTAACACAAAAGACCTAATTAAGGAATGGAGAACAAAAGACAGTATATGTAAATAACTAAGAAACACGAGACTTRTAAATATCATCAAGTGATCAGTAAATGCAAAACCTAATTTACTAAGCCAATCTACAAATAATTCACTAATCATCACCAATGGGACTGCGCTATTCTGTGGCCGAGGTTTAAAATTGTGCTTATCAATAAACACAGGCAACATCAGCTCATCTTAATAATGTCCAAAACAGTCAACAAGGAGAAGTGCAAATTAGCTCAAAGCAGAACATAAGCAKATCTCGTTTGGATCAGGACTTTGYAATTTACCAAAGACATGCAAAGACTCGCCTCTCTTTTTTTGCTGCAACACGATAAAAGCTAGAACCACAGCATCTGTTCAGATTATTTAAGATATGTTTCTATAGTTCACAACAAGCAAATCTGTAACAAAATGTGTTCATTTAGCATGTCAAATTTTTTTTTCATTTTTCACATCTTAGTGAGGGATCAGGCACATAAGTTATTCAGTAAAGCATAACCTGAAGTAAAGTTAAAAAACAGACGAGAAAATATTTTACACCAATTATTATCACTGCAAACCTTCTGTCCACACCTATGATACTTATAAACACTTTCAGATGCAATTGCTTATTATTTTTAGCCTGGTTAAAACCACACCCTTCACTTTGCTTTGTGCGAGGGTCTGGACTCTTGGCTGTAGACAAGCTATTCTTGCTGGAGGCGTGGCCTCTGCTGAAATTTAAAATGACTGGATCAGTTGGCCGCGACAAGGAGGCTAAGCTAAGAAGCTAACCGGAAATCGTGTGCACTGTAAACAACCCCACTGAGAGGAGAGAAGTGCCGAGCTGAACAAGACGACTGTAAATGAGAGYGGCTGCTTTGTCAGATAAATTTATTTTAATTTGGAAGCCTTATAACACGGACTGGCTTCATTCACTTCCTCTACTAACTAGCAGACACTGCGCAGAAAATCGACGTTGTTCAAAACTCCGCCTTCTGTTTGCTGATTGGCCCAGGTAAAATAAACTACAAGCTGACAYTGCACAGAAAATCGCCGTTCTGTTCTCTGATTGGCCCGGATGAAAATTCTCCTGAAGAAATCCTTGTCTATGGGAGAAATCCCAGAAGGAGCAGTGAAGAGAAACTAGAATTGAGTGGAACTGCATAGGAAGGCAAGGGCCAAGCTAATGTTTTTTAAAACATAGAAAATCCTTTTTTTTTTGGAAGTGTAGTGAAAATGATGACAAACATATTATATAATCATTTTTTTTTGTTAAAGTAAAGCAATCAAATAATCCATACATACATGCATGCATGCGTACGTACATACAAACATGAATATATTCATTCATACATACATAAAACAGAAAAATGAAAAGCTGCTGTTAGTGAGAGTGTCTGTACTAAAATGCTGAACTATTGCAACTAGATAGCAACATATTTGGAAACCAGTGAGTGAAAATGACACTCAATATCAAGAATATGGATATCATGACCTGTAAAACTGTCCTTACTAGATTTGACTTTGATGACAGTGTCTCTTCCTANGGTGACGTTTTTGACCATTGATCCCAAAGAGAAGATCACGATGCCATCATCTCCAGAGCTTTGGACAAATTCTTCCATATCCTGCAAGAACAAAATATTTATCCAGTCACTAAGTCAGACAGTAGGCTTTTTCTTCTTTCAACATTTCATTGGCTGATTTCTTTTTATAAATAGCTGAACATTTTTATCACTATGTTGACCTACAATTTTCTTTTTTTTTTTGGTGTACAAAAGTGAATAAAACCCCACCTTTGGTAGAGGTTTAGCAGGTCTGCCATGGATCCCTCCAACAAATTTAAAATTAGGGAGGAGTGGACGAGGGAAATCAAAATCCCAGTAGGTTCTTATCAGCCAGATGTCTGCTTTGCCCATCAATTCACAACCACTGGTGGGAGTTCCTGTTACAATGAACATACATTAGATACAAACGTTGTTATTAACAGTTTTTTTTAATATTACTCTGATATTATAACTGGATTTATGGGGGACCTCTCTGGGTAGAGTTTGCATTTTCTCTATGTACGTGCATGGGTTTTCTCCAGGTACTCCAGCTTCCACCCACAGACCAAAAATGCATGCATGTTAAGTTGATTGACAACTCTAAATTGTCCCTAGTTGTGGTGAGAGTGTAATGGTGATTTGTCTCTGTGTCCCCCGTGATGGACGTATGACCTGTCCAGGGTGTACACTGCCTTTTTCACAGCAGGGGGAGACTGGCACACATGTCTACTGGGGGTTTCCCGGTGGGCTGGATGGGCGGGTGGTCCGGCCTGTAGAGGCGCTGCCGAGCTCAACCCTGTGGTCACTGCAGCATGCTTGTTTTGCGGTGCCACATAGGCTGGGTTTTTATACCACTTTGGTTACTTGCGCAGTCCACACCGGCTTGGCGCTTACGTTGTTGTAGATTTCTCCAAAAGTACATGTGGCAGTACACTTTATGGCCTGTGAAATGTTGTAAACAGTAGAGCAAAAGCATGATGAACAAACAAACTGAACGGTGCGTGGCGCGTCGAGTTGTGCTAGGTTTATAGTTGACGCATCAGGCCGGGCGCACACCAATAATGACAATTGTGCTGTCCCCACCCGCTGTCCTGGTGTGTGGTCATGCGCCTCCAAATTTTTATAACTCTGCAAAGGCTGCGTGTGACGCGCACTGTTCTTATAGTTTGTCAAGATTTTGCTCTCCTACTTACATTTTCACAAGTCATAAAATATACTTCCATGTGTCCATTTGGAGAAATCTACTGCAATGTACAGTGATGTGAGTATCAGTCACATGGAGGCAGGGCTTAAAAGCCTGAATTTTGCCTGAAACTCTCAGACTGAAGAAGTCTCTTGGAGAAGAGATGAAACGTTTCATTAGAGAAGAACCCGTCCAGAAGACCTATACAATTTTTTTCTTTTTGATTTTTTTACCTGGATTACTGAGATGCATCAGGACACCTACTGCAATATAAGCACCAAGTATAAACACCTCCACTGCCGGAGAGTGTGCGCGTGCTCCAAACCACGACTATAAATCAGCCTTTAAAGGCTCAGTTAAAAAAAATTGCTTAACATAAAACAAACTTAAAAAAGTCCTTCTGAATAAAGACAGCCAGTACAAAACAAATGTCCTCAACATTAGGATGCAGGTTCTCATGAGGTTAGAGACATTATTTTTCTATATCATATGTATGTATGCATGCATGCATGCATGCATACATACATACATACATGCATGCATGCGTGTGTACATACAAACATGAATATATTCATTCATACATACATAAAACAGAAAAATGAAAAGCTGCTGTTAGTGAGAGTGTCTGCACTAAAATGCTGAACTATTGCAACCAGATAGCAACATATTTGGAAACCAATGAGTGAAAATGACACTCAATATCAAGAATATGGATATCATGACCTGTAAAACTGTCCTTACTAGATTTGACTTTGATGACAGTGTCTCTTCCTATCATCCCAGCCACTGCGTTCTTTAAACAGATAGRGGTTTAAATAGGATTTTCTCCTCGAGTGCAGGTACAATAATCCACTTTGTAACTTTACCTAGGGTGACAGGCAAATTTCTCAATTTCCACTAAGTGGTTGGCAGTGGACAATTTGCTTAGGTTTGCTTTTTGAATCAGTGCACAAACATACTACAGTTATGCATTAAACTATTAAATTATCAAAAGATTTGCAAGGTCAAGTTTAAGTTTGATTTAAAACCTATGTTCAACTCATTTCTTTTCTTTTTTTTTCAGCCAGCGTCAGTGTTCTTGAGTGGTCCACAAACTAAAATGTACAGTAGACAAATGGACGTGGCACACAACAATTAATGAGAAGACTGCATCCTCAATCAGAAAAACCAATGAAACAACATTATACTGTTCAACTTCAGCTCTTTCACTTTGTCTAGCTTTATTTCCTCTTTCTACTCATGATTATTCTCATCCCTCAAATTCTTCTGTATCCCTCACATCCCTGCCTTTCTTGCTTTCTGGTGTGAATTTACCTTTCTCTCTCTGAATCAACCATTCTCTCAGTTCTTATATTTTTCAAATTTGCACAATTTATTATTTCATCTCTTATTTTTGGCGACTTAAGTGTCTCATGTCCAATTTCTGTCCTTGGTCATTTATTTAACACTATTGACCAAAGTAAATAAATAATATGAGACATCAATTGTTCAACAACTGAAGCCAACATTTTATTCATTTATCGAACCTGCACTACCTGTGGATGCTTTTTGAGCTCATTTAAAAATGGTTCTGTGTGCTCAAAACATTTGTGTGTAAACCTAATAAAAACTGATTTAATTATCTAATATGCTTTTTTTAGAATAAACAAAATACAGTATGTCATCTATAGGAATCACTGCAACATTATTCCACAATTCCTCTTCTCTTATAGTTGATAAATGGTCCAGTTTATTTGTGCACAGCATTACCGAGCACAATTCTATGTAGTTTCAAATATCTTTCTGTTTATACCATTTCATTGAAAAAAATTTTTTTCTTCACACTTTACTTTCATTTTTCTATAAGTTAAAGAAATGTTTTATGTTGCTGAATGTTTTTGGTAATCTCAGAAACAATGATGAACAAGAACTGGAATAATAAAATACCAACAAGTACAAGTAATGCGTAGGCAACAGGGCAGTTACATCCAGAGCTTCAAAAATAATAGCTCTGGGAAAGACTGAAGTTTTTTTTTCTACTGCAGAACAGTTTAATCATTTTTTTTTTATTTGATAGGGTAAGTATTAGAGAGAAGAAAATGTCTCAAGGACAAAAGCATGATGCATGCTTTGCAGAGTGATGACTGCAGATAGGCCCTATCTTCTGGATATCTTTTATTGCTTTTATATTTGCTCCTGTCCTTGGGTTCTTTATGAATTGGAAGTTGTTTCCTTGAAGAGCATGTCTCCCAGCACATAAAAGAATAAGCACATTCAAATGCCAAGTGAGATACAGCACTTACCTCTGAAAGGTTTCCAGGTAGACCAAAAATGCCAGAGAATTATAATATGAAACCTTTTGCTTTTTTACTATCTATAAACATCATTGTGACCCCAATAACTCTTACTTCATGTGCCATACAAACATGTATTTTTAGTATAACCCAATATTATAATCTTACTATAATCACAATGGAGTATATCACAATGGTTATTTTTGTATAAAGTATCAACTCTAGCACCAAACAGCTTTTTCCTTATGCTTCAATGGATAATTCAAAGTATTTGAAGTGGTGTTTTTATTTAGTTATTATTGAACCTGTTGTAGATATTATTATTATTTTATTTTTATTTTATTTTATTTTTTGCTCTGACTGGACTGATAAACAGCCTGTTGGAGAAAAACCAGCACAGAAGTGCTTTTCTAAAACCAACTTCAATCAAAGTTGCACTTTATTAAAACTGTATTTTTGCATCACATGAATGTTACAAAGCTGCAGTCACTATTTGCATTTTCAAATAAACACATAATATTTTGTAAATAATTATGTTATGCAAAATATACAAAAGACAAATAAAATATGATATGAGCATGAATGCCAGTGAATTTTGTATTGTCTTGTTTTGATTTTGAAATTAGAAGTTTTAAGACAGCAATGATATACTTAGATTTTAAATTTGCCTGCTCAGACTAGCTGTTAGCTTGTCAGTATATCAAAGAGATTTATATTTCTCCAAACCAAGGTAATTAAAACAGGTACAGTACTTACAACTGTATATATGTTGCTTATATACTTCCTTGAATGGTATTTAAAAAAAATCTGAACTCTCTCTCTAAACATCAATAACTGTTTTACATTTCAGGCATGCATTTTTTTTTTCTGGTCAAAGTACAATGATTATGTTTTATTGACATATTATTTTAATAATTTTATGAAGCTAAGTATGGGTTTGATCTAGTCACAGGGTGTCACTGATCTCAAAATAATAAAAAAAATGTGATAAGAGGAGGATTGTTTAAAGAGTTACAGAGTGAGCATTAAAACGGAAGACATGCATGTGGGAATAGCTGAACAATAATGACATATAATCCAGTTTTATTGGCTCTAAAACACAACTTTACCAACTGCTGTTTTCCTTTTTAATCAATGATATTTAAACATGTTGTACACTCATCTACTTTTGCATGTATCATTTTTGTATGTAAAGAAAAGTAACATATTTGAAAAAGCAAGGGTACTGAAATAGCTTCTTTCAACAACATTACCACTTATTCTGAATTATGAATCAATGTAATAACAAACAAATGGTGTTTTATTATTTTATAAAATAAAATCACAATTCATTCTAATAACATATATTGTTAGCTAAGGCTTCTTTCTCCAAGTTCATTCTGCAATCCAAAAATGATATGAATTAGCTAATGTAATTCTGGTTAAATATTTAATTCTATTTTGATATTTTTACTGCATATTAGACACAAGGTATGATGCCTGCAATCTACTGTAAACATAATGTAGGCTATATTGATCATTGCAGACTCTCATGCACTACAATACAACTCTTTATGATGTAGCTACCACTAAAGTCTGCATTATCTAATTTGATTTTATATATATATATATATATATATATATATTTCTTTTTTTTGCCATTAAGTATGCCTTATAAGCATAATAATTCAGACTTTCAAGCTGTGCAGTGCTTCATCCTCTCTTCATCTTAAGCAGCAGGATATCACCCAGTCTTTAAATTTTAGTTCTTCACTCTAAACTGTATGTCTGTGAGAGACACATTTTTATGTAAGTCATAACAACAGTTTAGTCATTGTTGCTTTAGAAGAGTTTTCTTTTTTTAAGAAGGTTGTAAATGTGAATGCTTTGCAACATTACATTCTGAACTTGTGTGACCTGTATAGCAATGATTTAGCTGCAGTTTCCTTTTTTTATTTTAGAACATTCTTTCACAGCCAAGGTTTATTATGGATACAATTATGTGTTCACAAAATTCTGTTCTGATGTTTTATTCAAATGTTGAGATAAGACATAGGGTCGGTAATCATATGCATTCCCAAAATTAGCTACACTGTAGCATCAGTTGTCTTCTACAGTTAAATACTCTCAAAAATCCACTTTAGCAGCACACAGCTTTTATCTTTTAGTGCAGAAAAYACTATTTAGTGTGTGAGCAAGTGGAAAGTACAAGCATGATTTTTGTGTTTATTGTTCTAATCAACCAATATTGCTTTCAAAGCAAGTGAAGTTGCTTCTCTTAACTGAGACTGCAATTCTACTTACATCTTAACTTTTGTAATCAAAAGTATATATACCTGCGCCAGTTAAAGTCCAGATTCTGTCTTTCTGTCCTAAATCTGTCCATGTGGACCTGGTTCTGCTGGGTTTGGGTTTGATGGTGAGGTTACCTTGTGGAAGCTTCCATGGAAGATTTTCTTCACAGGGTCGCTGTCGAACGTGACCCTCTGGACCTCACCGCTCTCATCTTTGTTGTAGAACGACACAGTCTGAGCCGACGCTGAGGGCAGAACATCAGAACATCAGAACAGAAAAAAGAGAAAGAAAAGAAGAAAAGAAAAGAACGACAAAAAGTATATGGTTTGTTATATTTTCCTTCTCCCATTGTCTGAATGTAGTCGTTTGTTTACTAAAACTTACCTTGCCAGAAGTGGAACATATGGTGCCCTACCTACTGCTGATTTGATGCAGCACAACAATTCAGTAAATGCCTATATGAGTTGCATGCAGGTAACTCATACAGACGAGTCATACTCAAGGCAGGGACTAACACTGTTCACTTCACTTAGTTTTTTTTATGGTGTTAAATCAACAGCAAGGGAAAAGTTGTGTGCTGTCACTTTGC